GCAGTTTTCGAGCAGGTCGACACCAACGATGCCACTCTAGAGGCAAAGGCGGCCAAAGTATGAGTTCACCACGCAGTCCCGCTTCCGTCGTTCGTAGGCAGATTTTCTACTTTTAGCCGGGCTGTACGAGTCACGGCATATGCGTTGCGATTCAGGCACAATGCTGTCAGCAAGGGGGCAAATCGGCCCCCTAACCATTGAAGAGCTTGACTTTGCATTAAGGGCTATAGTGCGCATCGTGCAGCGGGAATCGTTCCCTATGGATTTGACTGCAGTAAGAGAAAGTAAGCGGCTACATGCCCGAAATAAGCTCTTGAGCTTGTCGCCGATCTTGTCAGAAGTCATCCTGCGAATAAGCGGGCGACTACGGCATTCTAGCTTGCCATATGAGCGCCGGCATCCGATAATACGGTGCACTACGGTGCTTATAAGCATAGAAGCTTGTCTCAACTCGCGGCCGCTTTGTCCTCTCACAGCGGACGCAGACGACCTAGAGGTGCTCACGCCAGATCATTTCTTGATTGGTGACTCGCTGCATGCTGCTCCTGAGTTGCGCCCACAATCTAGGTCCTTCGCGGAGCAGTTCCTGATCCAAGGCTTGGAGTCGGGACTGGCTAGCACATCTACAGCAGAGGCCCAAGTGGTGCCGCGAGGCTGAAGGACTCCAACTTGGCGACCTCGTCATCATCAAGAACGACCGTTTTCCGCCCTCGCAATGGCTACTGGGGCGCGTCGTCGAGCTACACCCGGGGACGGATGCGTTGGTTCGAGTTGTCACGCTTAAAACCAAGCAAGGCCGGTTGAAGCGTTCGGTGTTGAAGCGTTCGGTGTTGAAGCTCTGTCCACTGCCGATCCGATCATAAGCGCCCTCACATACACACCTTAATTATAATTAACTCGTCTCTTGCGCACACTTCTTGTTTACTTTCCCATACTAGATTCTACCCCACAACCAGGATGGACCGGACAAGCGAAGGTTTCTCATGCTAGGTCTAGCATTGGCGGGCGGCATGTTAAGTTTGCTGCTTGTCCCAGTGTGCTGGAAGCTGGGAGCGGGGAGCGGAGAGCAACAGCTGATCGCTCTCGCATTTTTGGGACGATGCGTGGATGAACAAAAGCGGGAAGAGGGAAAAAGTCAGTCGTCTTCTGCAAGCGGGAGAACACGCACGTTGCATCTAACGCGGGACGCTATTTGCATATGTCATATATTAATAAACGTGAATTTTTGTGAATTTGTCTTTTGTGGGACCTCTGGGACCTCTCTTACAATGACCCTTTGCTAATTAAATACAAGGGGACACAACTATACAGTGTTTAGGAAAAGTTTGTACTTAATATCGTATGTTCCAAACAGATTTAAGGTTTTAGTCAACTTTGCGGTTATGCTTTTGTTTTTGACTAATAATAAGGTATTCCTACCCTTAAGGGTTGCGCTCGAGAAAGTCAATACACATACTATCACTGTTATATTACTTTTTACTAACACTATTGGGCTTGCAAAGTCCGAATTTCTGAAAAGTATTTAATCATGAGATACAAATTTTCGGAATATTATCTTAATTTGTCATTTAGCTTCAGTTTTTATTCAGTTCCCTTTTGGTATCAACTAAAATACAAGCTGCATACGCTCAACGAGTAACACTTATAATTAATTTTTCTTTGTTGGATAACGGAGCGCCATATTCATTATTTTATGACCAATTTTTCCGAAATAGTTGAAGTTCACTTGCAACTGTAATCTAAATTTTTGTATATCAGCATCCTGCTACGCCCACTCTGATGCCCACAAACCACAAAGGATCAAGCATACATATTCTTGCGGGACCACCACGGTTCGAAGTGGTATATTTATCCAGCCAATCTACTGTAACGCCCACAAAAGACGAAAAACTATATATAACTAAATATCTCAGAAACTATAAGAGTTACAAAGTTGGTATTAAGACTGTATAATCTTCAGACGCCCACTTTTACACCCAACATTCGCTGATATCTTGATAACCATAAGTGATAGCAACTTGCGCTTAAGTTAAGGGATGTAGTTTTTTATGATACCCCCAATGCGGGAACCATAAGAGCAAGGAAATACCAATACCAATAACCAATGATTTTTTGAATCGAAACATTCTATCGCTATTTATAAAAAAATTGCCCCCATGGGCAGTGACGTCACCATCAGCTAGTAAAAATGCTTTTTTGACTACAGGTGGCGCTTTGTCTATTTCCACTAGCAAAATGAACATTTTAAAATTGTTTAAAAAGTAACGGTTGTGTTTTAGTTCCGGCACTCGATTATAATATAAATGATGAGGTGCTTTATGAGGCAGACTCGAGACAGTCTACTGAGTCTTTCTAAGCAATTAATAATATCAACGAAGGGTTCAATGAAAAAAGAAAAGTACTTTATGCGGCTCAAAAAGTAAAACAGCTATTTGTTACTAGACTTTCCCATAAATCACATCTGCTGATGCTTTAGAGTACATCTAAGATAAGTGTGCTTCTCAAGTCATCAGGGTTGAACAATTCAAATTTTCTTATGCCCGTATCGGCTCCTCCAGAAGCTTTTAAATAATTCATTTGTAATTTTGTATATCTTGTGTACATGACACATTACGACAAGCCGCCAAACGGTATTAACAACTTTTTCTAACGACACTACAAATATCTGCAGCTCAAAATCTCCTAATGCAGCAACGGAAAATATACACACCTCTCAGGGCTGTAAAAAAGTGGCTGGCTAAATGGCGCATACAAGTCAATACCCAAAAATTTAAGCACATCACGCTTACACTCAACCGAGGCACGAGGACGAAGTCACCTGTATCGGTATTCATTTAGACAGGCGACTTACCTGGAGGAAACACAGCCTTAATGTGAAGACCTGTAGTTTCCATTGGCTAAATAATTCCCACTCGTCTCTCCAACTAGACTATAAAATACTACTGTAATCAAACCAATTTGGACCTAGGGCTCCGAATTTGCTGGACCTAAAACGTCGTTAAGAAAGAAATCGAGAGCAAAAAATGAACTGTTAAAGAAGATTAATAACACACCAAAACCTACTAGCAAGGCAGCTCATACAATCTTAGCGGATATACCCTCTTACAGTGAAAAGTGCCCCACCTTGGTCATTATTACACCATTATTAGGTTAAGATTTTAATACTTATGGTAGTCTCTTAATCAGGTAGAGAATATCGAATATGTAAATAAAACGTTATATATAAAAAAACATACCTATCCTGTGTAAATGTTATATAATTTTTTTTAAAAATGGTTTGCTTAAACACCACATTTTAGTTTTAAATTTTTTATGTGCTGTGCTGTGCGGTCCTTAAATGTAACCTTGGACAAGGGAACAGCAAAATTATGTATTTTTGCTAGACGCCTTAAGCATTTAAATAATATAAATAAATATAATCATATAAACATATTTCCAAAAATGTTTTGTCACTAATAACACAATAAAACATACCGTTGCTCCAGCTGAACTCCGTTTTGGCAGATATAATACCTATTGTTGTCGCTTTCGTGAGGCAAGTAGTTTTTTCCGTCACATTTGATGGGAAGAACCGGCTGATTAGTTTTATTTAAATATGAATTATGTGTTTCCTGAGGATGAATATCATGAGCTCCCACTGGCGCGTTGGCAGTGGGCTTCATGGACGGATTGCCGAATGCACCTTAGGGTAGATTGAAATCAAGAATAAGAACGCTCGTTATGTTCAGACATTACTTACTACTTGTGTCCTGACGTACTTCTAGAGTACATTTTGGGTGTGGACCTCCGAAACCTCTGAGAACTCTATTAATGGTTTTAAGAATGGGATAAGACTCACATTCGCAATAATTTTTGAAGTCATCCAAATCGATAGCCCAGATCATAGCTCCACCAAGGCCCATTGCCTTGATGTACTCGCTTTTATGAAGAATCATGGATATATCGTCGAAGGAGACCCACTGGTTTTCCAGATAGGCGAAAGGTCCCATCCGACCTTTGGTATCTCTTACCACGTTCCACTTACGCTGACGGATGTACACGCAGATTTCATAGTATGCCAGAAAACCCCTAGATCTTGTGGCTTCACCCGCTTCACCACCGCCGAACGCTGGCGCATTAAGCTGATGCTTGGTAGTATCAGCCAGAGAAAATGACTGGCCATACGCGGGAATTCCCATTACCAATTTCCTTCGGTCAGTTCCCATAGTTATCCAATAGTTCATAGAAAAATTAACGTTAAAGTTCAGTGTTCCTTCGGGGTGGTCGTACATGGGTGCTAAGTGACCAGTCTGCTTATCCCACTGGCCGTGGTAGTCATAAGTCATCACTGAGATCCAGTCTAAATAGCGAGATATCTCGGGAATATCGTATCCAGCATCAATCACTGTCTTATTGGGAGATACGGCAGCCGAGAGAATTAAGCCCTTCGGCTCAAATGCGTGGGAGAGCTCGCGCACCAGGGCAGTAAATCCGTTCTTTTCACCTGACATACCTTTTTGACAGCCCACCTTCCAGCACACGGGATAATCCCAGTATATGTCGAGCCCGTCAAAGTTATACTGCTTAATGAAATCTAAGACATGACGGATGAACAGCGCTCTAGCTTCTGAATTTTGTACAATTCGGGCGTATTTATCTCCAGCAGAGTCGTTCCATCCGCCAATAGCCACCATAACCTTTGTTCCTTTTTTACGGTAGGCCATAACACGCTCATAGAAAATGTTATCCAAGTCCGCCCAGGAGTCATGGGGCTCAATTCTTAGATTTTCACGGTTAAGAACAGCAAAACCATAGACTATGTGGGTGCACAGATCGGGGTTAATATATTCCGGGAGGAACTTCCCACCGCCTTGGCGGTACCAGGCCCAGTTGGTAAAATAACAGACAACCTTAAATTCGGATGGAACATTGAGACTAGGGATCGATTCGCTGGATTCCATTTTAAAATTTTCTATTCCAATGTCTTTGTTTTGATCGACCCTCTTTTCCTGTGAAGTCTCAGTGGAATCTACCATATCGCTCGCCTCAATAGTCTGCATTGCACCTCCTTCCTCTCTAGAATCATGTAGCCCTAATTCTAAGTGCTCAAGATGGTTTTCGTTTTCACCGGTTACTCCATCTGCTTCCCCTGACTCTCCTTCAACAGCAGAAGTTTCGGGTTCGCTCGACATGAACTGGTCCTTCACGGATGTAGATTCAGTGGAAGCCAAGCCAGCTACAAAAATTAGTTTAGTGCAAAAATTATAATCGACTTGTGTGAAGCCAAACTTACGAATTGATGCAAAAAAGCTTGGTGGATCCTTCAACACATCGTGGAGCTCCCGTAGTAAAGGATAAACGCCATTACCGCATTGATTGCGAAAGTCATCGAGGTCGAGGGCCCACACCATTCCTCCGCCCAAATTCAATGACCTCACCATATGCGCCTTTTTTCGAATAATATCAGGATCATCGTAAGAAACCCACTGTGTTCCTTTGTGGGCGTACGGACCCATTCGGCCAAGTTCGTCCTGGACCACCTCCCAACCCTGGTGATTGACCCGTTCACAAATCTGAGGGCACAATGAAATATTATATTTATGTAAGTATAAGAGCCTCTCAAATGAATTATGAAAATATTCAATTTAAGAATTTAATTTTTGATCACTATAAGTATAATTGCAATTCCAATTATTATTATTATGGTTTACCTATTTGCAGTTAGTGAGGAGGAGAAGTGAGTAAATGAGGAAATAGCAACCTTTTCTCCGCTATATATATACTGATCAAAAATATATGGGCAGGCACGAGCAAAGAGTTTTTTTTTATTAATATTAGTGCATTTTATTTAAAATTTGTCCATAAACGGAAGAACAAATTAAATTTTCTGGTTATGCCTTATCAGGTAGATCTTACATTAAACAACTGTTAGGTCCAGCCTATGGTTTCTCATTACTTTTATTCTTGTACTGCTGGTGTCTAGGAAACCCTTTGTAGGAGGATTGAGTGCCGATCCAGCTTGGCTTCGTAGCTCGTACTGAAGCGCGGAATTTCCAAGTTGGGCGTGAATCGTCTTATTGTCGTAGAATGGGCGCGCACCAGAAATTGGCCTTAACGCTTTGTTCTGTGTTTTCTTTATATCACTTATATTTGCTGCTCTTCATGTGCCCCACAGATTGGTTTGACGATTGCCTTGTAAACTAGAAGGTCCACCCTTAGCTTTAGCGAGGAGCTTCTCCCGGTTAGCCATTGTAGCTGCCTTAGCCTTTCCACAACTTGGAACCGCTTCCGCTGGAGGTGTACTTTCCAAGTTAGTCTCCTGCGTCATGCCCAGGTATTTGGGGCGGGCTCGGTATGAATAGTAGAACCTCCACCTGCGGAGCCAGCGGTCGAGGATGTTAAGTTGTCGCTGGATAAGGTCTGAAGCGTCGCTGGGACTCGCGGATGTTGCCAGGAATGCTGTGCCGTCCGCGTAGGTGGCCGCCAGAAATCCTTCCTCCGTCAAAACAGGCATGTCGGCAGGGTATGGCGTGTAATGTATTGGAACAAGAGCGTAGAAATGAAGACAGTCCAAGATTCGTGAACACAACTGAGCTTGCAAAACATATTTGACTTGTGTTGTCGAACTCAAGAGAAATTATTAAGGGTATTCAGCAGCTTGGTGAGCGTAGTTCAAAAGGTCGTAACTGTGCTGCTACTGTCAAATAAAACAAAGCACCCCAAACGAAGAATTCAGAAGTTAACTGCGATCAGTACATAGCGACATTAGCAGCATAAAAAAGATATGTTACGAAAAAATAAAAACAAAAAGAAACGCTATAGTCGAGTGCCGGGACTATAGGATACCCGTTAGTGTTTTATACAGTTTTGAACTATAAATTTTGATAGTGGAAATCCGCCTCTTGTCAGATAAAGCATTTTGACTTAATGATGGTGTCATCACTGCCCTTGTGAGGCCTTATAACCTACATTTCTTCATAAATAGCGAAATAATGTTCCGATTTGAAAAATCTTTGGAAAATCGATAGATATTGAAAAAAATTTGTCATACAACGTAAAATGAAGACATAAACTATAATATTATGGATGCCAACATTTTCTGAGGTTTGTGGGCGTGGCAGAATGCTGAAATTATCTTGCGCTGCGTATGGACCTCAAGAATCTGCCAGCTTAACTCTGTACGTCTTATAGTTCCTGATATCTCAGCGTTCATACGAACAGACGGACGGACAGATGGACAGGTGGACCATAGCTTAATCGACTTCTATATTCATACTGATAAAGAATACATACTTTTCAGCGAATTTAATGTACCCTTTCAACGATGATGATATGTGGTTTACAAGCCCAGACCAAAACCAGAAGAAACGAGTCGAGTGCACATACAATGTACTGTTATACTCTACGAATAACGGGTATACAAAAATGGTATATTGTAGTTTCAAGTGAAGTTCAACTATTTTGGAAAAATTGGTCATAAAATAATTCCCTATCCGATAAGTCAAAAATTTGTATACCTGTAACTCGTAGAGTAAAAATGTTATTATTAATGGTATAGCAGCTTTTATATTAGTTGATACCAATAGGAACTGCATGAAAACGCTAAAGCTAAAAGACATATTAAGATAATATTTCGAAAATTTGTTTCTGAATATTAAAAACTTTCCAGAAATTCCGCCATTGCAATCCCAATGTTCTTAGTCTGTGTATTGACTTTCTTGAATCAAATTTGTTTCCATGGCCACACCATTCCAATCGTTTTGCATTGCTCAGCGAAAGCCCCAATCATATTATCGTGTAAAAATACAATCAAAAAGAAATCTAAGCTTTACAGCTTCTCTATTAACTGTTGATTATAATAAGCGTTACCCTTAAGGATAGGAGTATCTTAATGTTAGTCAAAACCAAAAGCGTAGCCGCAAAATTCACTAAAACCAAAAACCTGTGTGGAACATTCGATATATGGGATAGATTATGGATAGATATATCATATGGGCAACTGCACGGTAGTTTTTATTGCTCTGTCATCAAATAAGACAACAACGTATTAACAGACTTCTTCACCATTGCTGAAAAATGTAATAAAGTCTGGGTCAAATATGGAACACATGAAAGCTTCTACAGCTCTTGCGGCATTGATCGACGCTTTACAATCTTTTGAAAGCCTTTATGACGAAAAGGACCTTCAATATCAGTCATTCTAAAAACCGAGATACCTCAAGGCAAGACCTTATCTGTTGTCGTCTTTTTCAATGCCTTTGCTGAATTCAAATAACACCCCAGATAGTTACAAGGAAATAAATATATCCTAATACGCATACGGCGCCATAATTTACACCACAGCAAAAAAGGAAATTAAAGTTAAAACAAGTAGAAACTATTCTATATACTATACTAACCATAAGATAAGCGTAACTGTTTTACCCAATATTAAAATATTCTTTTTCATAGTTGAAATTCCCAAAGAGCCACCTATTGTCAGAGAAAGCATGATGACTAACTGATAGTGACGTCACTGCCCATGTAAGACCTTATAACCAAAATTGCTTCCCAAATAGCGAAATACTGTGCCGATTTGAACGTTCAGTTTTTCGCGGAGTGTGGGCGTTATGCTTAATCCGAACTTTCTATCACTCATAGTTACCGACATGTCATCATTTCTATAAAATGCGAAAACCGTAGATATTGACAAAAATATGTTATTCAAGGTCAAACGAAAACATACATATTATGTATGCCACAGTTTTCCGTTGTTTGTGGGGCTTAGAGTGGGCAAAAACAATTCACATAAGGGGCATCATAAAAATCTACATGCCGACCAAAATGGTACCACTTTAAGGTGCGCTGGCATCTAAAGATTATACTTTCTGAATTTTAACTTTCTAGCTCTTATAGTTCCTGAGATTTAAGCGATTTTAGTTTTTCGTGATTTGTGGGCGTGGCAGGACTCTGAAATAAGCATGCGCTGTCCAGGGACTTCAAGAATCTTCATGCTTTATCTCAACTTTGTATCTGTCATACGGACGGACGGACATGGCGCAATAGACTTCGTTATTGATCCTGATCAAGAATATATATACTTTATAGGGTCGGAAACGCTTCCTTCTATCTGTTACATTCTTTTAATCTAATCTAGTTTACCCTTTTAATCTACGAGTAACGGATATAAAAACTTTCATAAAAGTTTTTCAAGACTTAGACTCATGAACTAAAGGTAACGGGTTTTTGAGATAAAGCATGCGCGCAAGTTCAGCGCCCACTCTAACGCCCACAAATCTCGAAAAACTGAAATTGCTGAGATATTAGGAAATATAGAAGCTAGAGTGTTGGATGTAACATGTAAGTACATTCTTGAAATAGCTGCTCATCTTACCATTGACTGGGCAGAATAAGAAAAATAAGAATGTAGCATACAAATTTTTAAGAGCCACCCCAACTTAAGGTGGATTGTTGAGTCCATAATATTTAAATTTCGTTTCCTTTTTACCTTGCGTATCTTATCTTGGCCGAAACATACCAATTTAAAAAAAAAATTTAAAATCTGAACATTATTTCACAATTGTTTAAGAAATGGATGATGAGAGAAGATCTATTGAAAATGCTTTTCTACAGCAGGTGGGGCCAGCAAAAATTAATAGCAATTATTTTAAAATTAGGTAAGACAGTAATAGACAGTAGTAGAATTTCCTATTTTTTAATGCAATATTTAATCAAGTGATTCTAATTCACTCGTTTAAATATCGATCACAAATTAAAGTGGTTTATTTATTTTATAGAATATGGCTTATTATAAAATGATAAATAATAGAAAGGAATGTACCTCATAGTAAGCAAGAAATCCAGCGGCTTTGGTAAATTCTCCAGCTTGTCCGGGACTGGGCGCCTTGGCATTTAAGCCACTGTTGCTTGCGTTTTCTAAAGTGAACGATTGGCCGTATAGTGGCATACCCATTACGAGTTTCCGTGCTGGTGCTCCTTTTTCAATCCAATAGTTTATTGAAAAATTCTGTGAGATAATGTATAAAATATGTATTGAATTGCAAATGATATATTTACCGCGTTAAAATGCTCAAAATCGTCGTCGGGATGATAGTAGATAGGAGCCACATGCCCGGTTTTCTTATCCCACTGCCCATGGAAATCATATGTCATAACAGCAATCCAATCGAAATAGTAAGACAACTGGGGAATGTCATATCCTGCATCAATGATTTTCTTGCTAGGTGAGACTGCAGCAGACAACAAAAGTCCTCTAGGTCGAAACGCTTCAGAGAGTTCACGAACCCAGGCAGTAAAACCCTCCTTTTCTTCGGAAAACCCCTTATTGCACTCCGTTTGCCAGCATACTGGGTACTCCCAGTCTAAGTCAAGACCCTCGAACCCATATTTCTTAATAAACTCGAGAGCGTGACGTACAAAGCGGGCTCTTGCCATCGGACTTCGTACTAGCCGACTGTACTTATCACCTTGCGAATCGTTCCATCCACCGAGTGCCAAGCTTACCTTAATGCCCTTGCTTTTGAGGCTACTAACTCTTGTGTAGAAGTTATTGTCAATATCGGCCCAGGAATCATGGGTGCGAAGAATGAGATCTGAATAATCCAGCACGGCGAACCCATACACTATATGAGTGCACATGTCTGTGTTTATGTCTTCGGGAGTATAGCGACCTAAGCCTTTGCGGTACCAGGCCCAATTGGTAAAGTAGCATACTACTTTGTAGTAGCCGTCAAGAGGCATAACTGGCTTTTCTGTAGAGAAAATTGGGTGTGGTAGGCTACTCGGCTTTTGGGTTATCAGTGGAGGATTTACAAAAGTCGGAGGATTTGGATCACCGGTCAGTCCTGTTTCCCCGCTGCCAAAACTAGAGTTATGATTGCACATAGCTTTTTCTGGCCAGTCGCAGTTTCCGATATTCTCACTGTAGTGCAGTCCTGGTGGACAGTCACCGGCCTGAAGTCGGTTCCATAAGCATAAGAGGTATTTGGAACAGTCACCCGGATAGGGGACTCGATCTTCGCCGTTGCATGGATCTTCCTCGTTGGTGCGTCCATCTTCAATAATTTTTAGGTATTTTTTGCTTGTCACGCACTGAACTTTCTCTGGCCAGTTACAGATTTTATTGATTGCGTCCCAATGCAAGTCTCCACCGCACTCACCAGGTACAAGTGCTTCATTAACGCAAATGTTATATTTTTCGCAACTCTTATGGGTGTAGTATTCCCCCTCGATGCAACTATCGGATGGACGTGGACGATATGATTGCGGTCGGCTGGAGGAGCTACTGACTAGATGATTTAAGACAGATTCAGTCGGTTTTCTGCTGGGTTTCGATGTTGTTATTGGATTTTTTGAAGATAAACCGAAATTCAAAGGAGCATTACTCGATTCTTGATTGTGGTTTACTGAGCACTTTGCAGATGTCGGCCAGTCGCAACCCTTGGCCTCATTATTCCAATGAAGACTACCGGGACAAAAGTGTTGTAGCATTTCTCCTGCAGTAATGCAGTGGTAATAAGCATTGCAATTTTTTGAGTCGGCAAAGAATTCGCCACTCTCGCAGTTCGTGTTCTGTAAAACCGGATAAATCGCTGCCGGCATGGGGAACGTGATGTGTGTTGGCTTGGAGCTAGTCATCGTCTGACCCGGTTGTTTTGTAGTTGTGCTCCACCAGGGGACGATGGTGCTAATAGTGGTGGTAGTTTTTGGTTCTTTTGTTGTATTTGGGTGCATTGGCTGTTTTGTAGTGGTGATGGAGGGTCTATTGCTAGCCTCAAAGATTGGCCGGGAAGTTGTGTAATACTGACTTTGTCCCGGATCTGAAGAGCCATCGTTACCGTTCGTTATCATTTCGGATGGCAATGGCGTTATAATCAACGGCGGACGATCACAGTTAGTTCGATTCGGTAGCTTCGAGTCCCAACGTCCCAGTGCTTTGTTAATGGCTTTAAGTAAGGTATAACTCCCGCTGCAACAGTAATTTTGAAAGTCATCTAGGTCGATGGTCCAGGCCGCCACTCCGGCAAAGTGATTGTCGGCTGCATATCGAGCCTTCGCTGCGACACTGATAGGATCTTCGTAACCTACCCACTGGTCCTTCCGCATGGCATAAGGTTCAAATCCCCGTGTTGCATCTCGATCACTCATCCACATATCCTTTTTTAGGCGAATGCAGATTTCGTAGTAAGCAAGCATTCCTGGCTGCTTTGTCCATTCGCCTGCTTCTCCAGGTCCACTGGCTGAGACGCCTACTCCAGCCAGTTTCTGGTAACTCTGTGCCAATGTAAAACTCTGGCCGTAGAATGGAATGCTTAACACAAGCTTTTCTCTGCGCGCCCCCATTTTTATTAAGAGTTGCATCGTATAGTCCGTATTGTATTGGGGATATTTGTCCAATGAAGAACCATATAATGGACTGACATGACCTGTTTGCTGTTCCCATGCGCCATGGTAGTCATAGGTCATTACTGTCATATAGTCCACTATTTCCGACAAAGCGGAAATTTCATAGGCTTCGGTTATGATCTCTTTATAGCCGGAGATGGACACTCCAACCTGAAATTGCCGATTAACACGATTAAACTCAGAACGCAGTTCACGTAAAAGCTTTGTCAGGTTGGGCTTGTCACTGGCTGGTCCTTTTGAGCAGTCGCTTTGCCAACATTTTGGGTAATTCCAGTCCAAGTGCAGGCCACTAAATCCATAACGCTTCAGAAAGCTGGCAGCACTGGATGCAAAAACTCGTCTTTTAATATAGTCGCTGGCCAAGCGAGAGTACTTGGAGTCGTTAGAGTCTGTCCAACCACCCAAGGCGATTAACACGGGTACTCCTAGTGATATAATCCGGTGGAAGTAGTTGTTATCCAGATCAACCCAGGGATCAAATGGTTTAATGGTGAGGTGGTCGGGGTCCAGGGAGGCGAACGAATAAATTAATATAGAACACAGCTTTGGATCGATCTGCTCTGGCAAAAAATGACCTTCTCCCCGTCGGTAAAAGGCCCAGTTTGACATGTAACAAAGAACTTTGGTGGTGTTTAAGTCCTTCCTCTGCTTTAAACCTTCTTGCCCTAATCCGCCGTATGTCTGATGCTTCGTATTTCGATCAGTTTCATCAATTTGTTTAAACATTTCGTCATTCATCGTTTTAAGCAACTGCTGATGCTGTGAGCCAGCGCGGTACGGCATAGGAATAAAGTCGTCTGAGCTCTGTTGTGCAATAATAACAGGATATTTGTCAGAAATGGAAAACCGATCTGAATTTTGATGCTGTGTTAGTTTTTTGTTTTTTTGTTTAATATCTACATCAATATTTCTGTCATAGCTCTCAAGGTTTGTGGAGAAATTTATATTCTCCAACTCGCCTTCGTCGCTTGGGGCTGACTCCACGGAATCCCTCACAAAAGATCGTATATCAGATGACCTTCTCTGATATATCGTTGGTATAAACTCGGGACGTGTAATAAATCGGGTATCCAAAGGAATGCTCTCGACTGCGGAACGAACGAATGCCGGCTTGTAGTTCGAATACCTCTGATTATCGTGTGCCTTGTTGCCAATATGGGCCTCAGCTGCAGGAGCCCCAATCATGGTCAAAAGCATCTGTAAGAAGGTTTGCAATAGAAATACAAAGTCGAGATTTATTGTATATGATGCAAGCTTTTACTCACCAATAGCTTACAGGGCCCGATGTAAAGCATTTCGCAACGAAATATCTGACCTGCTAAGAGACAATATAATTAAATTACTTTTCAAAATAATACAAGTCCTTAGCAAAAATAAACTGATAATTCTAGCTATATTGACAATCTTCATAGGCATTTTAGCTTAGAAGTTTTTTTTTGTTCTATGTCCATTAAAGGTTACAGCGCCTGACTTCTAAGTCTCAAGTGTCGAAAACATTGAGAAGACAGACTGAATAGCTGCTAGGTGCCGCTTATACGTCAAAGAATCGGACTTAGGCGGTACATACGAACAGGTGATATACAAATTTAACATAGAGAGTGAAATTTTTACTGCGATAAGTTCTAGGTCTCAAGTTTGAAGATTAATCACCTCGGAAACGAGCTAGAGTTCACTGAAATTAAGACTCCACCACCATTCCGAGAGATCGGTCAAGCCAATATATTGGGTACCTACTGGAAAAAAACTTCAGTAGCCAAGTTTCGGGAATCACAATGTGGATACTTCGAGAACCTTACCGAGAAAAAATTAGAATGCTTAGTGCGTAATCCTCTTGTGTTCTGGTACGAAAGAATAATGAATAATATTAGTTTTTTGGGTTGGCACGAACGTTTACTTGTGGAAGCTTTATTCCTAAAGGGCGACTTTTTTCTTCTTTCTATTCATAAGCTGATGTTCTTGAACGAAAGTATGTTGCGGCCAGAAATTGGTACGGATCTTAAAAAATTCCCCATTTCCCCTCACCCCCCTGATATTTTCCACCCTAATATCGACTTTGTGTTTAGCTCGAATGTAAGCTAAAATGTCCGATTCGGACGTATCAGGGGATAGCCGGGAAACAAAAATGTGTTTCTCTGGAGGAATCCCAATGAAGGGCTTTGGCGGGGCGGGTGATTTACGCACGCTACTAGTAGGTGCTGATAAACCGGACCCCAAGTTCCTCTGTTGAGTCAAAGGTAAATTATTTTGAACATTTGGCACGGGAGGGTCCAATGCGACTACCTCAGACTATTCATCGGACAAATGCCTACGCTCCTCAGCAATGTTTTCGGGATCCGTAAAATGGTCTGTTACCGGCGTCGTCACGATTGGAGTGGTGGACGGCAACGGTGACAATGAAGCAGCCTATTGAACATCAGACGGAGGGAGAAGGTTAGGAGCGAGAGAGTGTTAGCGAGAGCTACAAGGCGGTATAAGAGAGTACGAGTTGTTGAAAAGTAGTATGCAGTGTAAGCGACGGGGAGAGACTGATAGAGAGTGTGTTTTCGAGAGCTACAAGCCGGTGGGTGGTGCAGAAAAGAGATACGCAGCTGTTTTGTTAAAGAGGTAGGCGGGATAATTTCCGTTACTAATAGCACAAAGTAATGTAAAAGAATATGTTAGAATACAGACCACAATTGTTGTAATTTGTTTGCAATAAATGTTTTATGCAAATGAATAATAATAATGCACTGTAGGGGGTGCAGAATCGAAAACAGTTTAAATCTGGAAGTAGATAAACGTTAGCAAAAACGTGGTGTTCGGGAATAAATGCAAAGATTAAATCGCTAGAGAACACGCAAAAGCCAAAAACACCGTTCCCTTTGAAAGAGAAGTGAAGTGTGTGCAAGAGAACTGAAGTGTGTTGTTTTGCCACGTATTGTATGATTCCGACCGTAAGAGAGGGCTTGGACAAATACTGGTATTACCTTGAGATGCCCTGGCATATGTATGTATGCTTGATCATAACTTTGTAGTTCCTATAGATACCGAGATCTTTTTGAAGATCTTCTTTTCGGTTTTTCGCGTTTTGAGGGCGTTTGAGTGGGCATGGCCAGATACAGAAAAGTAATACGCTCTGGTGGCAACATTGGAAACTATAAGCTTAATACCAACTTTCTATCACAATAGTTGCCGATATCGCAGCGTTCAGCATGGACAGAAAATGTTCAAAACCTTTTAGCTTTAATAGTAGCTGAAATCTTTGTAGGCGTTAGAGTTAGCATTGCTATATGTGGAAACAAGAATAGGCATTGAGGTCGTCACTAGAAACTATATGCTTAATACCAACTGTTGACTACCGATCTGATATATTTATATTAAGGTTAACGTTTGGCTTTGATCTAGTATATTATATTGTTTTTCAAAAAGTATTTTTAGTAATTTAATATAAGAAACACAGTTGAAAAGGTTTTACATGAACAGTGATGTTACTGTGCCCTAATTACGCTTTATATGGCGACGAAAGGCGCTATTAAAAATTTTAAAACCGCAAGCCAGCACGCAATTTAAGTTCCCTGAATGCTTATAAAATTTTACTCTGCAAGTTCAGTTGTTTAGTTAGACACTTGTGACTTTGTCTGCAAATGAAGTTAAACCGTCGATCTCATCTAATAAGCGGCTAGAATGAAGTAACGATGCATAAGAAGAACAAGAAGCAGAAAAGCCGAAGGAATATACCCGAGAGCCGTAGCACCAATAAAAATATCTTTTGCTCTGCTCTGATCTCGCTCTCAATTTTCGTATACGGCTACGGCTACGCGGAGCACAGAATATTATTTTCTGCTATTGCTATAGCTATAGCTCTGAACTTTTTGTAGCTCGGAGCAGAGCAGAGTTGATCAGTTTTCGTTTTTCTGCATCGGCTCTGCTCCCGCTCTCGAAAAAAGTGAGAGCGGTAGCAATAGCAGAGCAATATTTCTATGCATCTCGCTGCTACGGAATAGTAAATGCAAACCCTGGCAAGAACCGAGGCCCAGCATTCAGGACTTACAGGCTCGATTAATTTAATTAATACCGCTATTATTTTATAGTTGTATAAGAATACCCCACTGTTCAGCTTTGTTCATTGTTATGCATGAATCTTTTAATAACTTCTGATAGTAAGGATACAATATAAGGAAGGGAGTGTCCTAGGGGAGTTGGAGTTATATATTTTTTTTGAGTATGGTGCATTTTTTAATGTGCTAAGAAATTCATTCGCCGTCACCCAGTTTTTAGGACTACCTAGTGGCCAGGGCGTTCTGTTTCGGGGGGAGAACTGTCCGGCCTGCACCGTCCGGGACGCTCATCAACATGTGTAAATTATGGTTCCGCAGGGCATTCACAAGGAGAGAGAGAGAGGGGGTTGGACGATTCATCCATTTTTCGAACAAGGGGATGCCTGCGCTGTACTTGTTCATCACATGGTTATCGTTTTCTAAACTATTTGCCCTTTCTGCATTGAACAAACAGTATATATAAATGAATATGACAAAATTAAACAAATCATCGTAGTTATACTGCTGATGTGGACATGTAATTTTCATCAAAGACCACAAAGATTTTTCAAATCGGAACATTATTTTGCTATTTATGAAGAAAAAGCCTCCCATGGGCAGTGACGTCACTATCAGTTACTCTAAATGCTTTCGCTGACAATAGAATGCGCTTTATGAATTTCCACTAACAAAATTAATATTATAAAATTGTGTAAAACAGTAACGGGTATCTTAAAGTCGCGGCTCTCGACTATATCGTTTCTTCTTATTCCAGAAGGAAAACCTACTACCTCTCCTATTTCGATGAGAACATTTGAAGATTCCTTCGAAAAAAGGATAAATCAGAATATTGATCTGAACAATATAGATTATATTGTTTATTTAATACATTATCTATAGAAAAAATTATACACTTCAACGATACATTATTTCGGAATGGTATCCCAATTCAACAATATCAAAATACAATAACCCTCCACATCCGAACTAAGCGTTTTAACCAAATTCAGATCATACACTTCCATTAAATTCTTCTAGTAATTTATATATTGCTGTCATAAGCCTAAAAATGACTGATAGGATGGTATTGCCAATTTGCTTGCTGATCGCATTCAAAACCTTTAAAACCAGGAAAGATATCATCACAAAGACTCGCCATGCAAATCCGTGGACGGATGATGAGCCTCTTCGACCTGCTGTGACATATCTGAAATATGTTTGCCTTGTCTTCACTTTCATGCTATTATATTTCCCGAGATTTCAAAGTTTTTGGTTAGCCTCGTTTTGTGGATGGTACGGTGGTCGTGGCCAAATGCAGAAGAAATCTTACGCTTTGGAGGCGTGGACGTAAGAGTGGGCGTAGCCAAATAATGGTACCACCCTGAAATGCTGTCTAGATAATATATGCTTAATCCCACTTTCTATCTCTAATAGTTCCTGAGATCTCTGTGATTTTAGTTTTTCGTGATTTGTATATTTGACATTTAGTTCCGTTGCCAAATATGAAATATGTTTAATATATATATATAACTCAATTTTTTGAAATCGGTTACTAAAATTATTTGGGCAATGAGTGAAATATATTATGAATTGCATATAAAGGCACAGAGTTTTCTCGTGAAATGGTCTTTATAGCCATTACTCGTAGAGTAAAAGGGTATACTAGATTGTAACAGGTAGATCAAAGCGTTTCCGACCCTATAAAGTATATATACGAGTATTCTTGGTCAGGATCAAAAGCGATTGAGCCATGTCCGTCTGTCCGTGCATCCGTCCGTCCGTATGAACGCTGAGATCTCAGGAACTATAAGAGATACAAAGTTCTGATTAAGCATGAAGATTCTTGAGGTCCCTACTCAGCGAAAGTTTATTACAGCATATTTCCACGCCTACTCTAACGCCATCTTAAAGGTGCGGCACTCGACCTTAGCGTTTCCTCTCGTTTTAAAGCGGGGAATATTACAGCTTAAACAAAATCAACTTTCAGTATAGAACCATATTATTGCATAGAGTTACGACCTAGATAGTATTGAGAAGGGACTACAAAATGTTTTAATATAATATAATATTGGATAATGTGGTTTTGGCGAGTGTTCTGTTGTACAACACGGTATAAGTTCTGCAAAAAATAGGGGCTAATGAGATTGATATAAGTTAAAATGAAAGCTAAAAACGAAGAACGTAGTATAGTTTTAAGGTTTCAAATTTCAATCGGACAGCCTAAAAACACCACGAGTGTAAAGTAACATAATAAAACAAGAGGAAACGCTATAGTCGAGTACCGCGACTATAAGATACCCGTTACTGTTTAACACAATTTTAAAATATTAATTTTGCTAGTTAAAATTCCCCATGCGCCAGCTATTGTTGGAGAAAGAATGTTGAGTATCTGATAGTGACGTCACTGCCCATGTGAGGCCTTATAACTTAAATTTCTGCATAAATAGCAAAATAATGATCCGATTTGAAAAATCTTTGGTAAATCGATAGATATTAACAGAAATCAGTTTCACAAGGTCAAACGAAGGCATTCATAATCATATTATAGACGCCACAGTTTTCGCGGTTTGAAGGCAATAGAGTGGGCGGGGCAGGATAAAAACTCGTGGCAAGTTGCAGTGGCATCTCTTAAAAACGTATTCTTAAGCAAAACATTGTAGCTATTATAGGTCCCGAGATTATTGCAATTTTGGTTTTCCGGGTTTTGTGGCCGTTAGAGTTGGCGTGGCTAGATGGGAAAAAATTAATTTCCATTTATAGCATCATAAAAACCTACATGCTTAATCCGAGTTCTTTCTATCTTTTATAGTTACCGAGATATCAGCTTTTCTAGAAAATGCGAAAACCGTCTTTTGAACCTCGTGGGCGTATGGGTGGGTGTGGCCGGATAGTAGAAAGTACTACTTTTCAACGAATCTAGTAGACCCTTTTACTCTACGAGTAACGGGTATAAAAATTATCAAGCCTTTCACCATGAGCGGACAGAAATACAAAAAAATTAATTAGTACATATTTCCGACTCGTATTATTTGCTAAACAATTAAATTAAATTAAATTAAAATTAAATTAATTAAATTAAATTAAATTTTAAACATAGACATAGAAATGGTTTTATAAAAATATTAATTATTAAAATATTAATTAATTCATTAATTATAGGATTAAAAAGCATTAAAACAACAACAAACAAACAAACTGATTTAGAAAAAGTTTTATATCCAATTAAAAAAAAAAATGAATTAAAACCAACCTGAAACGTTGGAATGGGCTGTGGTGATACACTGCATCAGGCATATGTAAAATATGCATGTTTAATTTTTATATTTCTTATAGTTCCCGAGAATAAATCGACATGCCTATTGATCCGGATCAAAACTATACAAGGATATGAGGAACTATAAACTTCTTTTAATAGAAACCATTTTTAGCATAAGCATGGAAGCCGGCATACCATTTTGGGGCATTTGTGGTCGTCAACAGTAATGAATCATTTATGTTCTTAGTGTCTTTATAAAAATTACACAACCATTTTCTGCTGCTTATTTGTTGTAAAATTATCCGGGTAGATTAACAGAGTAACAGATATCTAAAATCTGAAGCTCACTACTTTAACGTTCATTTTGTGTTTTATTACTTATTTTAATTGAGTTTTAATTACGATGTTCAAACCCATCCCGTTTTTCAAAAAAGTATTTATTTCAATTCTTTTTTTAATGAATATTTTAGACAGTATTGAGTTAGGTGAGAAAAGAACGGTATGAACCGGTTTTAACTTGGTTTTGGAATTATTCTTGTATACATTCCTATGTTACAGGCGGCTCTCGACAGCAAAACATTGCCAATACCGAAGAGCCAAAATATACAAAAAGAGGTTGGACAAGTTTTGAGTTGCTCGAATGTTGCAAAGTATGAGTATCAAGTCGGGTTTTGGCTGTTTGTTGGAGTTCATTGAACGCCAAGAACTCTGCATGGTTCTAGATCCTTCTTTACGATAAATCAGTAGGATTTTACAATGTTTGTCAAATTTTATATCTTGTTGATAGGAAAATTACTTTCAATAAAATATTATTTGCCATATAAATATACTGCCGTTGGTGGTTTGAATACTTTTTATAATTCTTATAATAAACTTTTTTACACAATTTTTCATTTTCTACACGTAGATTTAATGTATTGATTTATCAGTTCTGATAATAATTCTTAAAAATTCTTATACATTACAAACACTTTTAAAATAAGTTTGCGCACAACTTAGATTCTTTGACTTACCCTTACTCAGTATTCAGAAATTTGCTATCTTACTTTGGACCCGACTTTATGCGTTGGCGATCAAAACAAAACTGTCGGCCGTTTAACTGACGATTCTCATATTTATACTTTTTTAAGGCCCAAAGAAAAGCAAGAAAACAAACAAAGAACGCTTGTAACGATAAGGGCAGACCTTTACTGATTCCGAAAAAATTGAGCCCTTGATATATACCCCTCCGAGGGGGATGTGCAATATATATATTTATAAATTGTATATATGGTATTCGCATATAGTCTATAATAGATTAAGTCGTGTCCGTCTGTCCGACTGTCCGTATGAACACTGAGATCTCAGGAACTATAAGATATACAAAGTTGAGATTAAGCAAGCAGATATGAGATACCTTCGCAGCGCAAGTTTATTTCAGCATTTTGCCACGCTTACTCTAACGGCAACAAATGACGAAAAACTTAGCAACTATAAGAGCTAGAAAGTTGGGATTAAGCCTGTTTAATCCTGAAATGGCAGCCCATCTTAAGGTAGCACCATAATCCAGCCACGACAACTCTTACGCCTAACAATTTCGAAAAACGGTTTCCGCAGCATGCTTGTACTTTCCATAGATGTGTATTATATCTGAATCTGGCCACGAGTATTATAACCCCAACAAAGGACGAAAAAGTAAAATCGTTAAGATCTAAAGATGTATAATCTTGAAATGTCAGCGCATCTCAAGGTGGTACTAGCACCATCCGTGAAAAACGGGAGCCGCATTCTCTGAGGACGCTGAGATCGCGCTAACTATAATTAATAGAAACAGGGGACTACACCCACTTTAAAGAGGCATAAGTATTTCGCACCGTAGCTCGAGATGGTTGTTTATCCGGCCACATCCAAAAACCACGAAAAACTATGGCGTCCGTAATATAAGTCAATATCTATCGATTTAGCATAAAAAGTTCAAATCGGAACATTATTTCGCGATTTTTTAAGAACTATAGGTTATAAGGCTCACATGGGCATTGACGTCACAATCAGTAATTAAACATGCTTTTTCTAATAAAAGGTGGCGCATAGTCCATTTCCGCTAGCACAATGAATATTTTAATGTTGAATAAGACAATAACGGTTATATTATAGTCGATGCACTTGTTTTAGAATTGAAAAAGACAGACAGACTTCTTGTTTTTAAGTTTGACAATTTATAACGATGTAAGATTATCGTTCCGGGCCATTAAAATGTGATAAAAAGTTTTTAGGACCTTTAAGCACATTTGCCTAATATCATATCTTGGAGTGGTTCCAACATCATTCTTTGTTTTTTCTTTATAAGGAAGTCGATTAAGCCTTGCCCGTCTGTTCGTATGAAGGCTGAGATCTCAGGAACTATAGAAAGAAACGTGCTGGTTCATGAGAGCCCTACACAGCTCAAGTTTATTTGAGCATCCAGTCACGCCCACTGTAACGTCAAAAACCACGAAAAACTAAATAAATAAAGGAAAAGTCAGTGCTAGAAAGTTGGTAATAAGCATGTACAATTTTAACATGGCAGAGCATCTTAAGGTGAAGCCATTATTTGGCCACGCCCACTATAACTCCCACCAAGCACGGAAAACGGATTTCGCTTTTTGTGGAATTGCTTTGATTCTGGGAATAGGCATGTAGTTTATAATGATGACCCCAATGCGTGGGCCACGCCCACTCTAATGCTCAAAAAACGTGGTAAACTAAAACGATAAGATCTCGATACTTATAAAAGTTAGAAAATTGGGATCAAGCATGCATATTCTTGCTGTGCTCTCATCTCACTCTCTATTTTCGATTTCGGCTAAGCAAAGAAGAGAATATCATTTTCTGCTTACAGATCGCCACTCGTCTAACCTCCAAGCTGGGCTCTGCTCCGGATTTCGTTAAAGTGAAATTTTAAGATTCTCTTTAAATCGTGATCTCTTTAAGTCTCTTGAAATGTGAATAAAAAGACTACCAGACCAATATTGAAAAATATAATGCCATAGACATTTTGGAAGATGTGCTTAAAAGGGCAATGGAAACAGACAGTAATAACGATGAAAATGTAGATAAGGAGGCCGCAATTCGGGCAATTAGGGCCTTAGAGTTTCCAGAAATATATTAATATCAAAATTGAAACTACAATACTTGAGGTATAGATCCGGATAAAAATATCCGAGTTTCACAGCTCCCGCCAATTTCTTCTGTAAAGAGTACTTAGCAACTTTAATTAGATCGCTTAATTTCAAGCAAAAAACTTACCTAACACATGTTTTGCATAATGCAAAAAAAATTAGTTTTTGATCGTTTGGGTTTTTTTTTGGTATAACAAATAAATACATTTATTTAACGTTAATCACTAACGTATTAATACTAATTGAGCCACTGATTTAGGACTCGAGAAACTTGGAGTCCTCTTGTTCAGAGATCGACAAGATGCCTTCTCCTTAGACGTCTTCTAATTGTTGTTTTGGCCAGGGAAGGAGATAGATGGTGTTAGTTACGAGACGCTCGTATTTACGAATATACGCTTAAACCGATACGAATTTCGTTGTATAAATAAAATCTTCAGCCGTTTGCCTTCCGCGCAGTGAACTAAACTGAGTAGCTTTTGTTTCTTTTGTTTAAACTCTCAATTTACTTAAATTATTTTCACATTCTCCTATTTCTCGTCTTTCGTGAGGAACCGTTTCTCTCCCGCTCGCGCCTCTCTAGTGTTGTTTATCTATACCTTATCTTGATTTCAATCTTTTCCTCCGCTCCCTCTCACTTCTTATAGTGTGCATATCTAAAACTTATCTTGTTTTTATTCTTCTTTTTCTGTTCTCGCACAGTGGTCTTTTTTCGATTAAATAGTGCTTAAAAAAAATAATTATAACTCATTATGTTTGAAATTGTCTGCTACTTAAAATATTGTAACAAAATAATTACAACTAACCAGCTAAGCGTTTTGTGTTGGCTTTGTGATAATACCCTCTACCACATTATATCCAATACTTCTCCTACTAACATACAAATCGTCTTACTAAACCACTTAGCTCATATTTAATTTATTTAATTTTCCACTCGGTACTATCCCCGTGTTCCTAGCCGTACGATAGACGGCAGCGCCCCTCGGTCGGTTGGGCGGGAGGTGGGTTGCACGTTAAGCAACGGGAGTCGCGAAAAAAAGAAAGCAGTTGAGCTTCTCAAGCTTAGAACGACACGTAGCTCCTAATATGGATCACGACTCAATGCTTGCTCAGGCGTCCCATGGTTTGCCTAAAACCAAACCGAGAATAATGTCCTAGACGCTTCTTACTTCCATAATTCAACTAAGAAATATTCTCTCAACTATTTTAGAGAATGTTGGTGTGTGTCGGCCTGTATAAGCCGACAAGGTTTTACGGTTTTTCTAGTATTGGTATCATCGTTATCACGGCACACTCCTGGCACACAAGCGCGTAACGTTCGCATTTTTAGCACAGCGATTCTTAGTTTAATGATCAATGTAATGTAATCAGAGCTAAGTTCAAGATTTTCAGTGATGGAGAGACACTCCGGACCTATATTCCTCTGTGGATCGAGCTTGTAAGAGGCGGAGCTGGCGTTGGCAAGAAAAGGCTTATATTAGGCTTATATTCAATATATTGTTTCAATATCTTTCCCAGGAGTATAATAGTAAAGTAGAATGCGACCCAACATCAGTTAAGATTTAATTGTGTGCTCAAACAGGAAGAGCTGTTTTTGGAATAGGAGGCTTCACTCCTCATTGCACGTTCTCTTTCCCTGTAAATCAAGCTTGGTCTGCATTTAGGAGATTAATTATTAATTTATTTTATTTTATTTTAAATTTATTAATTTTAAAGTGTGGTCGGCGCAACTAAATTAACACATTTGGATTCTTTTCTAAAGCAAATATTTTCTTACATCGAGGGTATTTCGGTAATCGTGTTCGGCGGCCTTAGACAATTACGGACAGTATGTAAGTTAACACCGATAAGGAGTAACATATAAGTCGGTACAAATCTTTTTCTCTGATCACCTTAGTGCCTTTATGTGCAGACTCACCATAAGACGCCTTTAAGGGCAAGTCGTGGTTCTTGGCATGGTGAGTAAAGCATTTTCTGCTAGTGTCAGCATTTTTGTACGACAAGCGGTCGGCTTGCCGGCCACGTTTAGCTAGGGTGCAGCTTATAAGTATCAGTTTGATTTTTATATGAATAAAAAGCGCATAGCTCCATCAAGTTATCTCCAGGGAAATCTGTTTAATTATAGAATAATGGAGGGAAGTTTTCCCATCATAATTCTGAAATATCCAGAAACGGCGTTGAGCCCACCAACAGAGGAGGCCAGCGCAGCAGGAGGGTCTCAAACATTGGCCTCCGAGGAAACCCACGTCATCACCCACTCCTCACGGACGGCGGCGAGGGACGTCGTCAAGACCACCAGTATAATAGGCACCCACCTCAGTAGAATTCGCGGACGCCAAAAGCACGGTTATTTATATAAAATATATATATTATTATTTTAAAATTCCAGAGCCAAAATAATTTCAGCCTAATCAAGTACTCGTTCATAATTACACATATTAATATAAAAAATAATAAATATATAAAATTCCAAACCTAAATTAATGTCAGCCGAATCAAATATTCGGCCATATAATATAAGTGTTTAATGTTGACAATAGAGTAGAGTTATGAGCTTTCAGGGCCCATATAGGGATGTTAAACGCAAAATCGAAAGTCAAAGCGAAGAAGAGTGGGACCAAGGGTATCAACCACCACAGGTACAGGAAGAAGTCATAGTTATTATTTACCGGGATACAGGATGATTACGTGGCGTGAGCCTATGAGTTATTTAAACCATATGATGGCGGTAGCGCGCATTACCGAGCCGTTATAATTATAATTAATAAGATTGGGATCAGTGTCATTTTTTTACACCACATAGCTTTCTGTTTCCCCAGTTATACAGTACACTTATCAACGCTCCACTGTGCCAACAAAAGCGAGTGAAAGGCCAGGGGTTTTAATTCACTTTTCCGGCCACTTAACAATTAATTTCGAAAATAGTTAGGAATTCAATATC